GAAAGCAATAGCATGGATGCCCAGAGGTCCATGTTTCAGACAAAAAGCCACGTGGCTCAGGGGGATGTTCAGCCACACTGTCCTTTTCTACAGTGTGCAGAGGAGAAATATGACCAGAGTCACAAGCAGTGATGCATTTACTTTAGTTCTCACTCACTCACCTGTACACCTGGAATTAACTGGCTCAGGGCCTAGAAAAGCTTATATGTATCTTAGGTAGGCTGCCCTAGCCCTGCAAAATACTGATCCCCAGCAAGCAAGGAGGGGACCTTAACTTGACCTTACTACCTCACACAAGGAGGGGATTTTACCTTGACCATACTACCCTTACACAAGAAACAGGGCACAGAACTGTTAACTTTAGGACTTGAGACATGCTTGCTGCATCACTGAGGCAATGCACAAAGAACTATTTTGGTTTAGAGTGATTGTAAGTGTTGCACTTTATTTTTTTTTTTAGATAGTCCTAACAACCACATCAACGTAAGTGCTGTTGGTTGGTTTGTCAAGTTAAAAGCCATCACATTAATTACCACAAATTGTCTATTGCTAACACAACCCACCCAAATGCAGATAAAACACTTGTGCAGTTTCAGCACTACTTCACGTTATTGTTTTCAATCCCAATCAGTTAACTCCACAGAAAATAAAGGAAAGTTATGGTTTTAGGGTACTGTAGAGACATTGGAAATACCAAAGGCAATACAGCCAGTCAGGGCTACCTAGCCTTACTAAGTTACACTTCTCATGCAGGAACCTGTGCAGAGCTCTTGTCTGCTACATCTACCTGGCATGTGAGCTGGGAACATTTTACAGTGCATTAAGCACTCCAGTTCTACCTCTACAACCACACCATCTCTTTTCTCGTCTGTTTCTTGTGTCAAAACACATTAAGGATTCTCTTAAGGTCTGAATAAAAATAAGAACCTGACCTTATGCTTGCAATATGCCCACAAACGTGTTTGTAAATTAATTATTTACATTTTGGCATCATGCAGTCCTTATTAGAACACCTACACAATTCCTTCCTCATCTTCAATGAAATGTTTAACTTCCATCCTTTTAGCTTACTACAGAAGGAGTAAGCAAATGCTCAGCCATCCTGTTATACAGGTTTGAAAGCAATCTGGCTGAAAATCTTCTTGCTGCCTTCTCTCTGACCCTGAACACAGCTGGCTCCAGAAGGAAAGGGATCGTAGGTTTAATGCAGGCTGCTTATTCCTTTTTTTTCTCAACCCCAATACTTGAGTGAAAAGCAGCAAATGGAAAATTTCCAGTTACATTTTCCAGATATATGAAACATCAGGTCAAAGGTCAAATTCTGAAATCAAGCAACTCCTCCACAAAAAAAAAATAAAATCCAGGCACAGTAATAGACATGTGGGAGGACAAAAACCAACTCAAAGCAGTGTACATAAAAGAGCAACCAAACTACTTTGAACAGCTGAGAATTGAAAATATATGCTTCTTGTGTCAGAATATCAAGGGATAAATCTCCTTAGAGTACAATAGTATATATTTCTATTTATAGTTGATTTTTTAAATAATTTTATAATTTCACCTACAAGTAAGCTGCATGCACTCATCTTATTAAAAAAACGGAACTGCAGAACTGAAGATATTTCCTTATTGACTTCTCTTGGTATAGCTTTATAAAAGGGAGAAAAACAACTGTAATAAGTTTACAACAAATATTTTCAGCTACAGAGAAGTGGTAAACCTTCCCAGTAGGTATTGGCTAGAACTGTGAAAATAAACTGAAGTGAGCACATGGCCCATCCCCTGTGTGGTGATAGACAGGAATTAAAAGAAAACATTTCTTCAGTAGTTAATAGGATGCAATACCGATGCTGAGATAAAACTGGTTGAGGCAAGGTGTCACAGTGAAGCCTTTGGCCTTGGTTCCCATTCCCCAGCTAGTGGCAAAGTTACTCTCTGTCTGTCCCAACCAGGTCACAGAGCCCTTGGATGGGTGGTCTTAGCAGAAGCACCTGCTGAGGCAAGGGAAGGTGGGAGATGGTCCCCAGTGCTGGCTCACTGACAGGAAAGATAAGGTGGTAAGTGTGTGCCATGTCACTGCCCTGCTGGAACATCCCATAGCTGGTATTGCCAGACACTTGACAAGATGAGAAACACAGTCCATAGGAATTTAGGAAAAAGAAACTTGAAGGACGCAATGCGAATGCAAACCTTGTTGTCTAGCGCAAACTCTGCCAAGCATCCCCCCACCATCAGGCTGCTCACTCCTGGGCAAATCTAGATGGTTATCTGTGAGCCCTCTTAGGAGCCCATTTACCTTCAGAGTGTGAACCAGTACACCTGCAGACGGCTCTAGCTACTTGCTACCCAGTCTGAGTCAAAACCCTAGAAAAACAGTTAAAGTACAGCCAAAGTTACTCTGGGCTGTTTCTAGCTCCTCTCCATACCTAAGCAAGCTTGAGAGTACTTCAGAGCTCAGCTGGCTGGTTCCTTCCATCCCAACGGAGGGTTTACTCTGCTAACAACTCACGGCCCTGCAACACTGGCTAAATACCCCTCTGACACCTTTCAGCCATCCCTCCAACATACCTGGAAAGGCAGAAGTATTTCCCCACAGATCTCTGGCTATGTCCCCAGAAACAACACTACTGCCTGCAGAGGCAGCATGCAGCTATAGTTCTATAGAGACGCTGCCCACGCAAGTGGGTTTCCAGTCATCTCAGCTTGTGTTTTCACATCACCACAGTAAAAACATTAGCTGAACCACCCACCAACCATGCTGGTGACCGTTTGTAAGGTTGCACATTAATACTGCACTGAGACAAAAGAAAAATAGCCTTTTCCCTGGACTTTTAAAACTAAGTTGGCTCCTATTACTGACACCAGACAGTCAGGCAAATAGTTTTGCTGACCCGACTGAGCTGGTAGTGTGCCACTGAGCTGGAGCAGGAACTGAACAAGAGTGAATATGGGAGAAGTCTGTGAAGAGAGGGAAGAATTCTGCCACAAAGTGAGCACATGAGCTCATTGCCAGTGGATACGAGAGATGCTCCAACCCCTTCACCAGAGTCAATGCTAAAGCAATGACCACCTGAAGTGCTAACATCATCAGCTATTTTCCTTTTCAGCATGAAGGAAGCTGAAGAAGGAGGTACACATTTCCCCATCCCATCCTACCCACTCCACCTCATTCCAGGCCACCTAGCATCCTTGCTAAATACAATTCTGTATGAACATTACACATGTGGTTTTTGCTTTACTGTTACTATCTTTAATCAAATCTTTCACAGTTAGTATGTTTATATATCTGAAAGCAGGCTTGGGTTTGTGGACTCCCATCCCAGTGCTTCTTCGCTCTTAAGTACTATGACAAGGAGCTCCTGATCTACAAGTAGAACATTTATATACCAAACACCTTAGGAGCAATTTGATGACTCATGTAAATTAAATCCCTGGGACGGGACAGCCTGGAGCTCTCTGTGCTGCCTTTGAAGAGTAACATTTCCTTCTATACTGGCACCACTTCA